CAGTGAATCTGTACAGTAGGTTTTTGCAAGTGAAAGAACAGAGAAAATTCTTGGGACAGTTGGAAGTCTGATGCTGAGGCAATCACAGATTTTGTGGAACATGTAGGCTTTTCTTATATTCTTCATGAAATAAATTTAGAATGTCATATATAGTTCAACACTTGTCACACATAATTCTAAGTACATTGAGAAATATGCTTTAATTTCTCTTGTGCCTTTTAACTTATGGGTAATCTTGATGTTGTATGGGGTTTCCATGTAATCCTCTTCTCTTATATATGGGACTTTGAGGATGCGGGAGACCACATACGTAAAGCAGACAGATGACATCTTTAAAAAGTACATTTTTAAGAAGCAAGAGAATAAAAAAATCCCAATCCTAGTAGCTAGAATATGGCATGTACTTCTTTTCAGTAACAGACAGATGAAATTTGACTATGATATGAGTGCTGGAAGAAACTTCTGGTTCCATGGGTCACCAGTACTCATTTTGTGTTTCATAATGGTATCAGATGTGTGAGAGAAGCTCAGAAAAAGGAACACTTAAGACACGAGAAGTTTATATTCAGTGAGGTGACATGACAGAGTTAAAGGGAAGACAAAATTTTGTAGCAGGAATTAAAATAATAATCAATAGTATATAAAAAAGTGGGCTAAACATGTAGCAGTGCACACAGTGAATGTGGACTTGTCTATGGGAACCCAGTCTTAGCAGGCTTCATGTCCCATGTGAGCTTGTCTTGTCTTTATTTTCTAGGATGATCTCTCTTTCCATACTTTTTATTAAACAAATTAGGCTCCATCTAAACAGTTTACTATGTTACTTTCTGTCGTGGTTTAAACCAAACCAGACAACTCGTTCACTCACTTCCCCCCCTTAGCGCGGACGCCCGCTCGGCATAGCACACTGCAGCCAGAACTCCTGGGCTCAAGCGATCCAGTGGGCTCAGCCTCCCGAGTAGCTGGGACTACAGGCACGCGCCACCACACCCGGCATCAATACGGTGAGCCCCAGGGAGCTGGGGCACACCAGGTTGACTAAGGTAGGGCTGGTAGACTGTGAGGTTGGAGGAGGTATCGGTCGGAGCTTGGTCAGGCTGGGGGGGGGCGAGTTATCGGTTGGCTGGTGCTGAGGTGTGCTGTATTCTCTTCCCTTGTTATTTCCTTTATCATTATTATTATTGGTGGTAGCAGCAGTGATTTGTGTTATACCTTAGTTACTAAACTGTTCTTATCTCAACCCATGGGAATTGCATTCTTTTTGACTCTCCTCTCCGTCCCTCCAGGAGTAGGGGGAGGGCAAGAAGGGGGGGAAGTGAGTGAACGAGTTGTCTGGTTTGGTTTAAACCACGACAGTTCTTTTTGGCACCCAGCGTGGGGCACGAAGGGTTGAGATAACAACAGATCTGACCGGCACGGGAGCTTTGACCTGCTCCGTCTCTGACCTGGGCCAGTTCAACCCTCCTTAGAATACAATACCACCGGCCAAGAGACGAGTCCCAGTCGGAAGCCTGTGTCCTTCCGGGTAACTCCCCATTACCCCCCACCCCAGGCATGACGTGCTGTGGTATGGAATACCTCTTTGGCTACCCTGGGTCAGGTGCCCCGTCTCTGCTTCCTCCTGGCTTCCCCTCCTCCCTGGCAGAGCATGAGCCTCACAAAGTCCTTGGTCAGGGTAAACATCACTTAGCAACAACCGAAAACATCGGTATCACCAGCACTGTTCCCAGGCTGGAAGTCAAAACACAGCACTCCACCAGCTACCACGAAGGAGAAACATGACTGCAACTGCTGAACCCAGGACACTTTCTCAGCATTGCGGTCTGTGGTTTTATTTGTATAGGTTGTTTCTTTGAGTTATGTATCTTGTATAATTTTAATGTTTGGCAGAATTTGTGTTCTGTAGTCTTATCTCCCCAGCTAAATTATCCAGCAATATCCATAGCAGTTTATATTTTGTTCTTTAGCTGAAATATTTTCTTGGCTGTTCATTAAGAGTCAGATCATCTTCCAGGAGTATTTATTTCCATAGAATGTAATTAAGGTGGTTTACTTCACAAGGAATATACAAATATATATGAATAAAGAGAGACTTATAATTTCAGTCACACTTTAGATTACCTTGGGAAGTTTTGTCCAGTGTGTAAGTACATGTATGCACAAGTTGATTCACATCCTCAACTAAGGAGAAGGAGTTTTCATTTCTTCTCTTTTCTACACTGAATTTATGCAGCTTTCTGTCCTCTGAGAGCAAAAGTGTACTTAGCTATAACCTTCTGCCACATTTAGAGACCCTATTCAGTATACCTTAGCTAGAGAGAGTCTTAGCTGTGCTATGTGTGTTTAGAGCAATAGTGAGGTTAAATCAAGGCAACAATGAGGAGACCTTCAAAGTTTGAAAAGAGAAACAGTTTACATTTCTATCAGTAAAAAGGTGGGGTCTTGAGGTTTGGTTTTTTTTTTTTAAAAATAAAACAACAATGTGTAAAATTAAAGAGTAGAAAAAAAATGCTTGACTTGATATGTTAGGATGTTGAAGACTAAAAATAGTGGAGTCCAGTACATAAAGGTTTAAAGAATATACATATAAAAAAAAGAACAATGATGTCTAAGAAATAGAGTAAATTTAATAAGTGGTTCTTTAAATAGGCACTATACAAAATAGAAAGAAAGTATTGATCAGTATGTGTTGAAAGCTAGTGACAGGGATTAATCTGACTACACAAAAGACTTAAATCTTCACATAGTTGTTTGAGCAAGATAATATTGTCCAGTCTCTGAATTGCTTTCATCTCGGTAAGACATATTCTAAAGCATCTTAACAGGACAGTGATAGCTATTCAAGACTGACAAAAGACCATAGCTGCATTAAACTCACCATTTCTCAAAAAATAACAAAAGCAAAAAGAATAAAAAAATATTTAATGAGGACCTAGGTTGACAGAAAAGCAAAGTTAAGCCTTCTTCCACACACTAATTAAATCAGCTTAATTAATAATGTTTTTTACTATATGCAGGTTTTGAGTAAAATGTCAGTTTGTTAATATGTCAGTTATTTTAGTATGTTGTAGTTGTGGTCTCGGGCCCTAGGTACTGAAATTGATGTTCAAGCAGAGTTTGCTTGAATTAGTTGATTTTCAATTCAATTAGTTAATTGAATTGAATCAGATTAACAGTTGCTGCGCTGAACAATTCTTCAACTGTCTGCTTTATATTTGCATAAATTCTTCAACTATGATCCATCTCAACATAAAAATTCAAAATTTTTAAGATGAGTCCTTTGTCTACTGCTGTGTGAATAACTGTGTTTAGACAGCCTATTAAAAACAAACAAACAAAAAATAAATTAAAACCCAAAATATTTATTTCATAGCTAATGAGGTTTTATTGTCTAGATCCAAATTTTCTGGAATAAGTTACTGCAGTGTTGTCATGATTTCATATTGAATTGAATATGTAAAGGCATATAAAAAGTGTAAGTTACTGTATTTGCTGCTTATTTTATTTTTTTACCTTTTAAGACTATATTTTAAAAATACAGCTTTTAGAATTTCAAATTTAAATAAGGTGAAAAGTCAGCAGGAGCTGAAGACATTTTGCAGCTTAGAAATGGCTTCTGAATCACTGTGATGTTCTTCGAGTGAGGAAATAATTAAGAAATAAAGATTTGGTACTTGTAATTTTATTCGAAATAGCTTGTGAAAAGGGACTGTGACTTTCACTAGACAAATGGCTGTATTTAAAATGCCAGATGTTTAGTAATAGCACTATGATATTCATTCTTGAGAAATTAATAATCGGTACTGATTAGGGTACTGTACAGTCTTCAGTCATTATTACACCAGGTAGTGTTTGAAGTTCCAGTTAGGTGCAGAGTTTTTTTCAGTATTTGCCTAGATTCACCTTGATATTGTCAAACAATATTTTCTTCTTATGTACCTGGGACTTATGAACCCGGAACTTGGAATTACTGTCACCTACTTGACCTGTGCATCTGGTATTCATATTGTTGTGGGGGTCTCTGCTGAAGATCTCCAACCAAAAGAGAAAATGTAGGTTTGTCGTGTGCAGTGTTTGTACTGTGCTTTGATAATCCTACATGTTGGTTTTCTATCTGAAATATGTGAATAAAAATACTGGTTAGTATGTTGCATGTTTGGAAAACTGATCTTAAAAAATAACAATCTATTTAGCATGTTAGACCTAGAGGACTAGTTGAAATAATAAAACCAAAATATTACACTTAAGGAGCTGTTGATGAATTTGGTGTGTGAAGCTCCAGTATCAGTTGTCTGATATTATGAATGCATGTTTTCTCTTGTTTTCTTAGCTTTTTTAGTTTTTTAACTTTCATTCTGTTCCTGTTTTAAAATTAATTAGATTATGGGATTCATTAAGGAAATTTCATTTTAAGAATTGACTCCCATGAAAGCAATATTTGGTGCCTTGTAACCATGTAGTCATTGGGTTCCATCCAAGATGATTGAATTAATTTTTTACTGTTGCACGTTGTACTTAAGCTTCAAGTACAAGGGATGACAAGGAGTAATTGTAATCACCATTCAATCAAAAAAAAAAGTAAATTGGGGTTGCTAAAAAAGAACTGAGTCTTGTGGGACCTTGTGAGAGCTCTGTTGGGTCTTGCCCTAAGCCAAAAAGACTCCGTGGTTGTAGGGCTCTTTATCCTATTGACAATAGAATCTTTCTAAAAAAGCTGAAAATGAGCACATAAGGCAGAGAAAATATTAAACACTCCTGATTTTTATTATTACATGTTTCTCTGTGTGTATTGGAACATTTTCTAAAACTCTCCTAGGAGGCCACAACTCTATGAACCTTATCAAATAAGAGGTTCAGTTCCATTCTGTTGAGGAACTGGCCAACGGAGACCTCCAGATATCCCCTATCTGTCCATGATTAGAGAAACGATGTGCTGAAATCCACTTTTCACAAGTATTGTTTTCTGATGCTTTCATAATTCTCAATTTTGCTGTTTACAGAGAGCGAAGAGGTGTACCAGCGCCAGGTGCTGTCTATTTCCTGTATCGTCTTTGGCATAGTCGTAGTGGGCATGCTTTGTGCAGCATTCTACTTCAAAACAAAGTAAGAGCCTTCATCTGGTGTTTGTTATTGAGCTTCTGTCCTTTTTTATGGCTTAGAATTCTTCAGTTTCTCCCCTACTTTTGAAGCTGTTTCTGTCTCTGGACAGGCTAGAATATTTCCACACAGCTACCCTATGTAACTCAAAAAAAAAAAAAAAATTTAAACAGGAATAATATGTGGTTTGTTTCTATTTTCTGCTATCTGGAAAGAATTGTGTTCTTTCCAGTTCTTTTTTTGACAACAAGAATTTTGTGTCTATTGCTATCACTGCAATAATCGCTTTCCTCTTTTGAAAAACGAAAGTTTAAAAGTATCATCTTTTTGTATTTTTTATCTCTGAGTGTCGCTATTATTTCAGTATGCTGATAAAGGTAGAAATGCAGAGACAAGTTCTCTGTAGATATCTCTAACCTGTAGCTACAGATAGATGTAAACTGTTGATGTAGTTGTATAATGAGTATGTGTAATGTACAAGCACATTGAACTACCCAAGTATAGTGGAATCATCTGTACTAAACTACTTTAAAGTAAACCGGTTTCCACTGTTTGTTTTATCTTCCCAACTGAACATTATTTTATAATATTTATTGTTATGTGTGTAATTTGAGTTGCAAAAACCTCAGCAATTACATGGCATGCTTGTCAGTGCCACTCTATCTATAAATATGTTCTGTGTGGTTGTCATCCTTCATTCTTGTTCCAGTTGGAGCTAATGAGAAAACACGTATCAATATGAATAGTACCTGTATGAGATTAGTCATGGTGGATGAGCGTCAAAAATGTGGAGGTTTGCACTATTTAAAAGTTTGGATGCTTATCTGAATCCCCCTTTTTATAATTTATTTTAATGAGTAGGGACTCTCAAAAAAAAAAAAAACGTACGTTTCTATCTACCTGAAGATCTACATTTCCATTAAAAAATAATAAAAAAAAAATGTTGGAAAGTCACCAGGCCTTTTTTTTTTTCCTCTTTTTTCTTCCCCTCAGGCTTCAGGGGTCGTTTGTGCATGACTTGAGTGAAGATTTGAGCTTGTTCATGTTTCATTTCCTATCTGCTCTCATGTTTTGAGGGATTGTGTTTAATTGTTCTTTGGACCTTGAGTATGACAGTGACGCTAGCTAGGAGGATGCTGTGGCAAACTTCTTTCATGTAGTATAAATTATAAGGGAGCTCGAGCATCTCCCATATGAGGACAGGCTGAGAAAGCTGGGGCTGTTCAGCCTGGAGAAGACTGTGTGGAAACCTCATAGCAGCCTTCCAGTATCTGAAGTGGGCCTACAAGGATGCTGGAGAGGGACTCTTCATTAGGGACCAGAATGACAGGACAAGGGGAACAAGTTAAAACTTAAACAGAAAGTTTAGGTTAAATATAAGGAAGAAGTTCTTTACTGTGAGGGTGGTGAGGCACTGGATTTAGGTGCCCAAGGAAACTGAATCCCTGCAGTGTTCAAGGCCAGGTTGGACAGGGCCTTGAGTGATACGGTTTAGTGTGTGGTCTCCCTGTGCATGGTAAGGGGATTGGAGCTAGGTGATCTTAAGGTCCTTTCCAACCGTAACTATTCTATGGTTCCATGATTCTAGGAAATTGTGAGCAGACAGCCATTTTGCCACTGCATTGGAAACATCAGATGATCTTAAGGTCCTTTCCAACCCTAACGATTCTATGATTCTATGATTTTAGAGAGAATAAGGTGTTCCTGTTCTTCCTGTAAGGGCTTGAGGATTTTGCTCATGAAGAGAGGTTCAGAAAGGGCAGAATGGGTTTATCAGTTGGAAGAACATGCAGTCAGACACTGAGCGTAGTGTGAATAAAATGTCCCTCTGTTAATTCAGCTGTGGCCCCCCTGATTTTGCACTGTTGTATGAAGTGGTTTGGAACAGCCTTCGGAATACCATGACTTTGATGAGGTGGTAGGGATAGCTATGTCCAAAACTATTGAGTAATGCTTCAAAGATGAACTCATGGGACTATAGTGCTTCATACATATATATATATATATATATGTATATATAGTGCTTCATATCTCAGCAGGATAGGGTGGGAGGTGTTGGGTTTTTATCTGCATTATAAACATGATAGTTAAGAATTACTGGAGTGAGTTAGTGTAGTTATGCCAGATTTTGGGAACTGAAGTTTGAGGAGTAATGAGAAAATGAGTGCCTTCCATTCAGTCCAGAGGTCTTATTAAATATATGAAACACAGTAGTGCTAACATACTAATCAATCCCTAGCTCTCTGGCTTTGGCTCCATCTGGAGACTGTATCAAATGTAAATAGTGTCTAGACTGGGTTGCATAGAGGGCACATAAAACTGTCATAACTGCAACATTGGGCAGTGTCTTAAGGGTGTAAAACTCAACAAATTTAAAGTGCCTCAACCCTTATCATATATTAGCTTTTAGTCAATAGATTTTCAGGAGCTTCTTCATCAGGCAGGCGTATCTTCATCATGCTTATGAGTTATCAGAGCATTCTTCCTGCTTGGAGGATAATAATCTGGTTTAATTTGTTGTATCAAAATTTTAAAATATTGCTAACACTACAGAAAATCTGAATCTTGCACCCTAGAAGAAAAAAGACACTGACCCTGACTTTCTTAGTCTGACAGTTGGATAATATCTACTGTTAGAAATATGTGCTTCCCTATGCACCATTAAATTAGAAGCCTTTTTTAAAAATAAATTCAATGTGGGGAAGTTTAGAACTATAATTAAACACTTCCAATTATTCCTTTTAGGGTAATCAAGAAAGTGCTGTAAGTGTTAGCAACAGAGGGCGAGTACAGTAATGGGCTGCTCTTTATGGTGTAGACTTTCATAAATGACTAGTGACTATTTCTTGCTGAAGTAACAGCACTTTATTACTAGATTTATCTAAAGTAGAACAAATAAGGCCCTTTTGTTTTGAAAACAAAAATTATAAAATAAAAACAGTAGTTGGTGATGAACTTTGAATTATTAATTGTTTCTACTTTTATATGCATCCTATATTTTGGCAAAATGAATATGCATAAACCTAACAGTAACGTTAGGTTGCATGAACATAAGAGGAAATTAATTGCCTGATTATTTCTCTGGGTAAATACCTTCAGGAATCTCAATCGTAATGTTGAAGTGCAGCATCCAGTTTACTTACATGTGTTTATAGATGTAGAAGCAACTCCAAACCCAGGTTTTTGAAATAAATCCAAATTAGAGTTAAAAAACTTTGTAATTTGCTTTGTTTTTTTCCCTATTAAATTCTAAGAATATTGTATATATAGGAGATTCCTAACATCTGATGTTGTGATCATGTTTTGCTGCCATTGTTTAGACTTTATTTGAAGTCTCCGCTTAGAAACAGTCATCAAATACGACTAGGTGTTCCATAATTATTATGGAGAGCAAGAAGCAAGAGGCTAGCTTTCCATTAAGACATATGGATATACATTTGCTTATTTTCTCAGTGTATGTAATTTGGATGGTCAGAAAATAATTATTCATACAAACTCGAGAGTTGGGTTTAGGAATTTCCCCTGCAATTTTATAAAAAGCTAGAGTTCATTTTGACTTTTTTGCAAATTAAATTATTCAATTTCACTGGTTTCAAAAATTAGTAGATATAAAAATAGTTTTTTTAAAGAGATGTTTCAGAATCAATTAATCTGATTTGGCACTATAATGCTTTGTATTATATATATTCAGATTATATGATACTATTCTTTACAAGTAAATTTTGAATGTTTTTGTGTTTGAGAAATTATTTCCTCTCACCACTGCACATAAATCTTACTAATTAAGATTAATGCACATAAACCTTACTAATTATGAGCTCCTGTGAGCTGTACACAAAACATGCCACTCATATTTGTAAGTTCATTCTTTTTTATTTGCCATGCTGTTTCAAAATAGGATGTAAATAGAAAACATAAGAGAACTTTGTAGAGTCCAAGGTTTATTATGGTTTATGACTTGTATTCAGGAAATGTGCTTTAACAAGTACCTACTTCTGAGCAGGTGCTTACAGCTTGTTGAATTTAAGGTAATGCTTAAATTATGCAATACTGAAGTTTGAAGAGTAGTGGGGAAATGCACACCTCCCATACTGAACTAAGGAACTCAAAGGCAGAAGAAATCCCATATATTTATTTTAATAAATCAAGAAATATTGAATATGTCAAGTGCGATACTTCTCACTGCTTGCTTTCATAGTGAGGTAACTTGTCCTTTCTCACCATCTTCCCCTTTGAACACTTGAGTAAGTCAATTTTCCTCTGGTTTCTTACACTTTCCTGAGCTAAAAACAGACTGTACTGGAAGAAGCTAAAATTACTTTTATGCTTCATTCAGTGTCAAATTCGTTGGTCTGAGTCAAGTAAGATGTGATCAAAATTGACAATGTCACAAGGCTTTCAGCAACAAAATCACAAGCAATTTTCAAAATTTTTTTGAAGCTTCTTTGCTAAAATTTCAGATTTCTGGATAGAAATACTGCATTTCCTTTATTTCTTATCAACACTGCCCTGAAATCACTTCCTCTGAAATATGGCTCCACAAAAATTGCTGTCTAAAGGCTGCTGGTGGCATAATGAAGTGCTGCTGCTGCTGCAGCAAGTCCTTGACCTTGCTGGGCTGTTTCCAGGGCCTGTGTGGGTTGACTGCTAGAGATGCATCTTCAAGGGAGAAGGAGGGAAGGCAGGAAAGCAACAAGGAAGGAAAGAAGGAAGGAAAGAAGGAAGTAGAATTGGAGTTATTTCTACTGATCATTTAAAACTAATAGTCTCAGAAAATGTAGCTTATCAAAAGAATGGAGATGGATAAAAGACCTTACATGTGTTTTGCTAACAGTTTTTGCCCAGATGAGATACCTGTTTGTGGAAGATAAAAGAAACATTTAAAACAAAGTTTGCTGCCTCATATCCTCAGTCATGGACAGAACTTTAAAACTCAGTTTGTGAATATAGTGTGGCAGAAACAGAAAGCCATTATTAATAGCATAGTTACCTCCTGAATATTGCAAGTGATTCATCTGGTGGTATTCCTAGCTCTGACATTGTGGATCATAATATAGTATGTCGAAAACACAGCTGCAGATACCCTGCTGATGTTTTTTTCAAGGTTTAAACTTGTAAGCAAAAGCTGGTCTATACAAGATAGTGGGTTATAGGTCAGTCTAATTAGCTAGCAGAAATCTTTGATTCTTCAACATTTTTTATAGCCAACAGGGGCTAATGCCTGCTGTATTTGCCAAAGTCTTTGTTCTTAATCTGAGCAAAATGCTTTTTTACTATTCAGGCCTACTTGCAAGCTATTGTTAAATATTTAATAGATGATCTTACAAAATTCTGTGCTGAAACAATTAGCATGCTATTATAGTAATCTGAGAATAGAAGATATTTTAAACAGAAGAGATCTTTTTTCCTTTCTCAAGCCTTGCCAGAAAATGACCACTGCATTGAAAGCATTGAAATATTAGACACTAGTGAAATAGCTCAACTTGTTTAATCTGATATAGTGAAGTTTTGAACAAAGGGAACCATGGCTGTAAAAATACCGTGGCTGTAGTAGATGATCAGACTAACTCTTTCTTACATAAATTTTATTTCTCTCTGCAGGAAACAAACAAAGCAAATACATGAACAGCTGAAAGAAACACAGAATAGGAAAACCTACAGCCTAAATGCTTCCAGCATGATGGCAAAGTCAGAGTGTATGGCACAAAGCCAAGTCCAGCTGCAAAATGTAAGTAATCCTGCCAGCTACAACACTTAATAGCCTGGCTGAGTTCCTGCTGCTGATGGCAGCACATCGCCATGTTGCTATCAGCATCTGAGCAATGGGAACAAGAATTCTCACCTCTTTCATAAAATGTTTTCTATCAGGCCTGATAATGGAAAACACTAAGAAGGATTTTTTCTGAATTTATTTCAGTGGTTCCTGTTGCATTTTGTTCATGTAACATCCCTTGCTGAGGCCCCTAGCTCTGCATGTAGCAGTGGAAATTAGTATTAGAGTTTTCTGCAATACCTTAGCTCATATGTATGGTTTACAGCTGAAGTGGGGGTCTTTGATCTTAGGTGATTTCAAGTCTTCCAATAATTAATGTTCCTGCATGAAAAAATGTAAAGATTTGTCACAGTTAATTCAGAGTAAATTCAAAATCTGGCCCTAAATTTACACATATAAACTAGTGCTCAAGGGAAGACTGTGCTGATGGTCTCATTTTCCTGGGTCGTGAGTTAAAAGGTCTTTGAGGTTAGTTTGTTCAAACTAAATTTGAAATGTATTTACTCATTTTCTGTATATAGTTATACTTAATACAATTCCACAATCATGAAATTCATTAAGTGTATTTGAAATAAGGAACTTGAATATGACTGATTTATTTAGCCCTGGATGTAAGTTACTTTCCAATGCATGTCATTTTCTTCTCCGTGGACATACGCAATTAGTAATGTCTTATTTGAACAAAATCTTTGGAAAAACTGAGAAGAAGTCTGGTAACAATAGGAAATCAGTTTTATTCAAGCCTTTCTAAATGCTTAACCGTTAGGTTTTGGGGTTGTTTTTTGGGGAGTGGGTTTTTTTTTGGGGGGGAGGAGGGGGTTGGTTTGTTTGCCTGTTTAAGAAAAAGAGTATCTTAGCATTGCTTAAAGGGCTGACTACCATTGTAGTTATGATATGCTCTGTGTTTGAGGAAAAATACACTATTTCAAGAAGGTAGATAGCTTCACTAAACTGACATAATCACAAGTTAGGGAACCTTGTGCAATTCTTTGTTTTACTTTCAGTTCATTCAGTCAGACAGCCCTTTCTAGCCCCTACAAAAAAAAAATATTTGGGGAGTGTTGTAATGACAGCAACAAAAGGTAAAGTTGTAAAGAGCTTCTGTAATCCTTTTGTTCTAACATATGAAGTATGTCTTGGTTAGCACTAAGAATATGTTCTTTGCCTTTTTCTGACTGTATTTCAGTGCAATATTTTGTCAACCCATCATCACTATGAACTATTTGATGTCTTCTGAGCAGCTGACAAACACATCAACAAGCTTTATTTAAGTCTTTTTCTTTTGCTATGACAATAGTCATAATGGCTGAAGTAGCAGTTTATAGATTCCAGATATTAGAGATTGAAAGCCATTATTATTATTTATTATTTTAATCCAAATTTGCTTTTCTGTTTTTTATGCTGTTCAGACTGGCATTTTCAGTGCTGGTAACTAATACACTGTTTTCTTGTTCTTGTGGCTGCTTGCAGGCAGCTGTTTTCTTCTTGCCATTAATGCATTTTCCCTTTGGGAGCAAAGATAATAAGGAAGACAAACAGAATGACCTTGTGCAGGATGTAGTGTAACTGTGCAAGGTAGTAATGGTTTCTATTGTTAGCAAGATTTTAGTGCAGGAATGCATGTAAGAAGTTCATGAAATATTTAGAAAAATTGGCAGATTGGAATGGAGAAAAAGGGCAGGGGGGATGGCAAGGCAGCAGAAAAGAACTTTGAAATGGCATTTTATAGGAATGGCTGAGCGGCTCCCGCCAGAGACCAGAGATCTGCCCTAGGCGTTATCTGCTGGGCAGGAAAGGGACCAAGTATTGCCATGGGGAGAAGAATGCTCCCACTGCTTCCTCCTGTGGCTGTGCTGCTGCCTTTCTGCCAGTCACTGCTGGGGTGTGATCTCTCTTCAGTTCCCATCTGCAGCTCCTACCACGTGGATCTGGGGAAAAATCTTAGTTCTCTTTATTTCCAGGAGCCAGTAAATAAACTTGAATAAATTAAGGTGGCTGTTTTCTGGAAACTAGTCTTCCAGTATAGCATTTTGGCTTATGTAATCTTGGTAGCTGTTTCTTGTGCTCTTCTTACATGGGGAAACCGTCTCGCTTATATGTTATGTCACCTTTCTCTCTTTCCTTAAACGATTCTCCCATATCTTTCTCCTGCCTATTTTGAATGGTGATGCTTTCAGGTTTCTCACCCTGCTTTTTGTTCTAGAAGAATACATTGGTGTAAACCTGAGAATAATTGCATATTATTCTAGTAATGTCTGTTCTGAAGGAGCCATCACATTTTGACCTAGAGGTTGCTATATTTAGTAAAGTCTGCATGGATCTTTCCCAATGCTGAGTTGCTTTAGAAAGAGGTTCTAATATTTCCCAAGACCCATGGTATAGCAGGTAGTGTTTCAAGCGGTTTGTAGCTGTAAAGAGCTTGACTTTTCTCCACTTTTTCTCCACTTTAAAGTGAGAGAAGCCAAGTGAATGTATCAAAGTTTTACGAACATGAAACCACACCTTTCATTCTTGAAACAAGTATTAAAATGAACGAAAGTTTGTATTTTATTCTAGCTGAACTCATTATAGTTGCAGCTGCTTGTATTACTGCAGAAGGAAAAGGACTTCAGACCTACGATATCCCACCTCTGCGCCAATTAAAGCTTTTTTACATTAGCATCATTATGAGAAACATAACACAGGTTAAAAGCTCTGAATGTAGGCTGTTTAGAATTGTCTTCATTTGAGAAATCAGTCACTCACTCTGAGGTTTTTGCCCTCTGATCAGCAGGGTAAACACAAGTGACAATGGCCACATCCCAGCACCCATCTTGGCAGGCCCTGAGGTTGAGGAAGAATGCAAGGAGAGTTAGGCATTTAAGTTAAAACATGGATGCCTCCCTGTCATTTGTGATATTGCAGGGAATAAAGATTTTTTTTCTGTTTTTTTTTTGCATTGACAGTATTTTGAAGTATCATACGCTTTTTCTTCCCACACTCACATGCGTTACATCTCCTCCACTTCTTTCCTCTGCTCAACTGTGATTCTGAAAAGTAAAAATAACGAGTTAGATTTGGCCAGGGCAGATGTATTCTCTCTGAATTCCTCCTGAGCACAGTTGGTAATTGTGTTCACCTCTGCTGAGTCTGTTTCTCTCAGAGTTGATTGCATTATTTTCTTAAGGATGCAAATCATGTTAAAAATACTGTATACTGAAAGCAACATTCATAAATAACTGTTTGAACGCAGCTCCTAGTATTTCTCTTGAATCTCTTTTAAGTCCACTGATTTTCCCAAATACTGAGGCAGCAATATACTTTTTGCTAGGTTTTCTAGCATCTTGGATTTGAATACTAATGCACTGAGAATGTTGTTACAATTCTTAAGTCAGAAAGAGATAGATGTGACAGTTCTTAATGCAGGATCTATGAGGTATTCATATTTATTTCACCTAATGCATGAAACTTAGAGCTTCCTAGTAACATGTACTCTGCCCCAAAGAAATTATATTCTCATCAAATGATATTTAATTAGTGTGCTCCATGAGACAGCAGCAAAAGGTTTGATGTCCTCATAGGCAAAAGGAAGTAAATTGACATTCTCATCTGCCTCTCTTAGAAAAGCAAGTGCTCTGTGCCCTCTCATATACTATGCCAGGGGCAAGAGGAGGTGTTGTGGCTGTCCTTCTTTTTTTCTGTAGTTCGTCTTCATGAATTCTAGTCATGCACCTGGGTACTAGCTCCTTAATCCACCTTTACTAGATTATTTCTTTAAATACTCATAACTTGACAAACATGTCATGCAACAACAAAAAAAAAGCAAAACCAAAAATTGAACAAAAAATTAGAAAAAAAAAACAAGCCACAAAATAAAACACCAGGCATCTGAAGCTTTGACATTCCTGTAGTGGTTCTGAGAGTTGTCATGGCTGTTTATGTTTTTTTTATCTTCGTGGATTTTAACACCTTCTCCCATAGTACTAAGTGGATCTATTAATTCCCCATCACTTTCCCTCTGAGGTGGTTAATATGCTTTTCATGCTGTAGTATACGGTTTGACTTTTCACTACACTTTTTTCTAATAGCTTGCAGTCAGTAGCTCTTTCTGTGTCTTGTCTTTTGTTGATAGTAGAAATAAATACTTTTAGTCACTGTGATAGAATTACAATTAATATCTGTTGAGCAACAGCTACACTTGAACCTTTTAAAAGATCACTGTGTGGTTTTGCCTGCGTTACAATGTGATTTATCAGCTAAGATCAAGAGTATATTTCTTACTTCTATATTGCATGACTACTTAGAAAGAACTGCCAGAATAGACAAACTTGAATTTACTGGCCTCTGGCTACAGCTAATGTTGGCAACAAAACATATAACACATATGGTAACACCTGTAAGGATGTTAAATATACCACCTGATGGGCTTATGTGCAACGTCAGCCAATCCAGAAAAATCACTGGCTCTTTACCTCCTTGAGACACCCTCTCTGAATGTAATTTAAAGCTGACCCCTTTGCCTCGTCAGTCATTTTTGAAATGGGATCCCCACATCACCTGTCTTCCAATGCCATGTGTGTTTCTTCAATTTTTATTATTTCTATTTTGGGAAAATCATTGAGGACAAAGGCCTAAGAAAAGCCTGTGAAAGGGATGGGTGTTTTGTTTTGCATAAAAACAGGAAAACAGGACAGCAGTGTCAAGCTATTCTGTAGCACTTGACCAGCATATGTTATCTATGGAGCCTACATTTTAGAGTAAAGAATACAGAGCATGGAGCGGGGGAATTACATGCTCACAGTCATACAGTAGCTCAATGGCAGAGGCTGATTTCTAGTCTCCTGGCCCAGGCTGCCTTCACAGATATACTTAGCTTTAACTAGCAGGGGTGGAATTTTATTGTCAGTGTTGAGTAATTGTATGGAAGTTGGAGATGATTTTCTCCATGAAACCATGAAAATTTGAAAATTTGCAAAATATTTTATTTTAATGCTGTCATTATTCTTTATTGAGCCATATGCAGGAGCGTTTCTCAGTACTTGCTCAAACAAGCACAAATAATTAAACAAGAAGACAATAAAACCATAAAAATCCCCAAATAGTATGTATAAGCTTTCAGTGGTGCTTTCAACCTACTGGAACAGTCCATTGAAAGCATTTCACAGCTTATTCTCCATCATGGCTGAGTACTGAATAGCTCAGAACAGTCAGAGGCTTCCCAAAAGCTCTGCCCAGGTGAGAACTGTGGAAGCACCATGATGGGCTCTGCTGGGATACAGTTGGGGAGTAATCCCAGTATTGTATACCATTCTTCTGGGGACACCAACTGGTACTGCTGTAAACTCCTCACAGAGATCTGAGGATATTTTTCTCCAAAGATTATCTCAGAGAAGGGATGTGGCACTTACAGTTAAGCTAATGGAGAATAAACCGAGATGTTTTTAAACCTATTAAAATGTATGAATAATGTGATACATCCAAGTAAGTTCAGTTGCATTGTTCAAATTCTCTGTGTATTCACACCCTCAATTTAAATTGTGATTCGTATTTTCATTGTAATTAATGTTTTGGCTGTTATGGTAATTGTTAACTGGTGTATTTGAAAATGGCATAAAAGAAATGTTTAGTTAGGGGAAAAAAATATCCTTTGCAGGCTGTGCCTGGGTGGTGCTGGGTGTTGGACCTTCAATATAAATTGCTAGTCATCATCAAGGCAGCTTCTGGAGGTCCTGGTTTTCCTCAGCTGGGGTGAGGAAAGACCCTGTATAACATTGCTCCTGTCTACACCTGTCTTACCCATAGCAAATGGCTCAACTTATCTCTAATTAGCCTTCATGATTCACATCATACTCATGGTTTTATAAGCCATTCAGACCTTCAATTTGGTATCATGAACAAACATGAAAAAGGACAGAAGCTTTCTGGCGACTAACAACCCATTCTTAACATAGCTCAAATTGATTTACTCAGGTTAGAAATTAAAGACAGTTTCATTTCTGCGGCTGGCAGGATAACTATTAAAATTTAAAACCTTCAAAGACATGAGTACCTAAAAAATCATACTTCTGTCTGAATTTTCTGTATTTTATCTACAACATTTACACTAAGGTCATTATAACTTAAAGAAGAGTGGAATATGTTCTGTATTGTTTCAGTTGGGTTTATGTCATGCACGCCGCAGCATTTTGCATATTGTCACTCTCATTAGCTTTGCCTTCAGAAACACATAAGCAGCCCTGTTTATGTGGGTATTTCACACAACAGAAAGAGGGATAGGAGCATTAGAGAAAAAATTGTTATTTAAGCTACAGAAATCAGTCATAAGAAGCCTCAGTAGACAAAATAAAATTGCATGTCACCTTTTTTTCTAAGACAATTATCTTGTATGACTTCCCTTTTGGATTTGCTGAAGTCTGGGGAAATGTAGCTAAGAATAAGTGAGAATCGGAAAATAATTTGATATTTTTAAGGAGTTACTGCTCTTTTGTTAGGCAACAAAATAATTGTGGAAAAAAAAAAAAGCTGTACGTTGAAAGAAATCTTTCTATCTTCTGCATAAATGTTTATGCTGTTGTATTATAACATGGCATTTTTTTGCCAATGTGACTTGTATTATTATTAGGATTTGTATTTTCTTTCTAAAATACTTAATTATGTAATAGCTTCCACAAGACCAATTTATTGTAAAGATAACATGGGTATCTAGGTATCTAGTACTAAAATTACAAACTAAATACAGAAAGAATGGATTACAGAAAAATAGACCAATTAGTTTTAGTGCAGGTCATTGTAATGCAACATAAAAAATTAAATACCTGGGTGGAAATGTGGGTAACCGCTCATATCTCTGAGATATTTCCCAGTAACCAAAAGCAAGACTGATTATTATCCTATGCCAAAACACAGCTTTTTTGTGCTTTGATTTTCTGAATCCGTTCAGGATCAGAGACAATTTTTTGCTGAATTTCCAGTTGAATCACAAAGCAAGAAGAAGAAAATCTATTCTTGTTCATGTCTGGTGTTGGCTTTACAGACCTTTGTGTCTCACTATGTGCCCAAAGACTGCTCTACACCTACAACTGTCACAAGAAAAGTTATGTTTACACTGTTCTCACTAGCATAGATACTCAGGAGTCAAAAGTTTTCAGACCTGTTCAGAAAGGATATCTGGCTCCATGGATAGGATTCAAGTATTTTTATTACTTATCTGATGGTACAAATGCTGTTTCAGTTATGCATGCTGATGAAATCACCAAATGATCGAAGGAAGTGCTGACTGTCCTCTGAGATGTGTTTTGTGATCTCTCTGCATGGACAGCCACAAAAACAGGCTTTTAGTCAGGGGGATCCGGGTTCTCTATCGTTGTGGGCAAATCAGTCAGTAATTTTGCTACTAATACAGATATCAGCATTTTGATGTGGAGAAAGTAATGGAGATGACTACTGGCGCTTTCTGCTATGTAAACAATAGTGAATGAATGTATTACTTGCAATGCTTAATTTTAATTTAAAAATGCATTAGAGCACTTCTTACCCTGCTCCAATAGGAATTCTGACTGAATAGCATCAATAACATACTTTGCCTTTTGTGTATTAATTAATTTTATTCTCTATGCTACAGTATTCAAAAACAGATAGGCATCCTGGGCCTATTCTTCACAAAGTTATGGAGTCTAGTTTTTCAGGCCCTCAGTCTTTCCCAGAGGCCTTGTCTCCTGACAGAGGAACCCAGCCCATCAAGCAACATAGGTAAGCAATTGTCTGTCTGATGGCAGATTTCGCAGGCTGCCAAGGGATGTCATTGAACTGGTGATATGTGTGTGCTGTGAATAGGGGGGATGCTGAATGGTATGGTACCAACAGAGCCTCAGCTGACTCATTAAGCAGATGTCCAAGCATTTTCTTAGCTGCAGACATAAAAGGCAATAACAGTGCTCAACAACTTTATCTGTGATTTGTAAAAGTCCTAGAGGAAGCATTTAAATACACCATCCAAGCTGTAGACAGAGACCAGTCAATGAAACAACTGTAGTTTGAGAAATCATTAAAATCAAAACTTTCTTTATCAATGTTCATGAAGTTAATGTGTCATTTGCATCAGAAAGGTGTAGTTGCAAATTTACAGCTTTTCTCACTGTTAACTTTAAACAAATAATACTTGAAATGAATACTGACTTATTTATAAACACATGGTGGCCCTTGAAAACTAATCTTCCATAAGGTTTGGATGATTGTTTCCAAGAGGAAAGAAAGAGGAACATCACCCATCACTGAATGGCATTTGGATTAGAATTCTCCTAGTAGCCTTTTTGGATGAAAAAGAATGCAGATGCTTCATTATGATACTAGAAAACAAACTCATGTCTGGTATAAGCAATAATGTTTTGAAATGGCTGTGATAATAATGTTTGATCTTTGCACACAGAGAGAGAAAAAAGGCTGAGAAAAATCAGTTCAGAATATTTTAGCTGTGTAGTCTGGAGGAGAAGACATTTATTAAAGGATAATTTTTTAAATTACTGAAACAAAAGTCTGAGATTGCATGAAGTTACGAACTAGCTTCTATAGTATTTTGTGCATTTTCATTGCAGTCTCCCAGTCAGCTACATGTTCCTTTTCTTTTGAATAAATTATTTGCTTAACCTACCAAAGTGCAGCATATAAGCCAGGAAGGGACATTTGGATTCTATCTACTTTTACCTTCCTTAAGCCTTTAATTTAGCATGAAAAAATAATGCCGAATGTTATGTCAGATCCATTTCTTAGAGCTTATTCTCTATGGCACAAAGATTTTCAAAATATGCATCATAATTTTACCGAACATAGATGAACTGTGGAACTGCTACCTAGAATTCTTTCCATGGAGGATTGGGGAAAAATTTATCTCAGTTTTGCCAAAAGGTGAAGTTCAGAAAAAAACATGGTAACATTCCCTTAGCTTTAATAACATGGTTGCAGTATCTAAGTTTGAAATATTTTAGGTGCTTTACCATGACATTACTTAATCTTAAAAATGTGGAAATAAAGACTGAAAATATTTCTTCTGTTTATAAACATTGCATCACTTAAAATAAAGGCTATAATAATAATAAAAGAGGAATGACTCTCCAGACTCCCAGTTTTCCATAGTGAAATTAAAGAATAAGCCACACAGGTAGAATCCCAGATTGCTCATTTAAAAAAAAAAAAAAAAAAAATCAAAACAAACTAAAACAAAGCAAACAAATTACAACAAAATGAAAAAAACACACACACAAAAAAAGTCACCCAACAGTCATCTCTACTTGCAGATGTCAAGCTTCAGACTATCTTAAGAGTCTTTGCCTCAGAACTGTTTTAAGTTTTGGAATGACTGACTTAATTTATAAAGAATTATTTTGCAGTTTTGTAACTTCCGATTTATTATACAAGGCCCTTGCTTTGTAATACATGCAACAGACTTGAATATCGAACACTTTATAAGGTTATCTTTAATTTATGCACCATGTGATGGCTTCCTAATTCAGTTTCTAAATAGTGTTCAGTGTGGCCAAATGGTTAAATGTGGCCAAATGAGGAAACTTATTTTTTTAGTGGGATACATTTTGTTCTAAACATCCCTTCATTTCATTCCAGATCTGATGTGAGCCTAAAAACTGCAGCAGCTCTGCAGTTTCTCATTTTTATGCTGTGAAACTATATTACTGGTTTATTTCTGATTTCTATGGAAATATTTTCTTTCATTTTCCAGATCTGTTTTCTCTGCTAATGTTTTCAAGGGCACTAATGATGGGTGATCATTTCATAAAATCAGCAGCTGTATGTTTCCAGTTCTTAAAACCAATACAATTTTGGCCTGGCCGTAAGACTATCTAGGTGGGGAATCATTTGGGATTGCTGAAATTTGACTGACAAAGATCACCTAGTTATTTCACTCAGATTACTAGATAATAGCAGTTTTCTGTCTCTACTAGTCTCAGCTGCATGCAACGAATTATGGCAGAGATAGAATTGAAAATTTAAATCTCTACTGAATGTTACTCCTAAAATATTTCACTTGTATTTTGTGTTGTTATTACTGTAGAATTTTACATCATCTGCTTGCATAAGTAGAACAATTCTTAGTACTGTCAACTGGAAAGTAACAAATTTGTTTAACCAGTAAACTTCTTGTAAAGTATACAGTGTCTCAAAAATTCATCTGAGTTTATCTGTTGATTTTAGTAAGAAGAAAAGCCATGCTGTTGTAATTTCTTACAGATAGGAACAAATTAGAGTTTTGATAATTATGGGGCTGAGTTGTGATCCCATTGAATAGCAGTTTTCTTGGCAATTAGTCATCCTGATTTTCATTCATTGATTCAGTCATAATTGATTTTCTAGGGATTAATTTCAGTGAATACCATGATAAAAGCCAAATGCAGAGGCTTTCAGCCTAGAGCAGTTGTATTGTCTTACAGAAATGACAAAATAGGATAAACTTACTCTAAAATTTAAAATTACTTATGTTTAAATTTTTAATGTACTGTTAATACCATGAAAACCATGGTAAAATGATTTATTATTATTATTTAGTAAGTATTTTAGTTTTTAGGTTCCCAATATAATTGATTCAGTTTAAATTAAAAGAGTAAATTTAAATTATTCTTTAAATAAGGCTATTAAATTTCAAAGAAGAAGTACTGATGAACTAAAGCAACTAAGAGTGTAAAGGCAGAGGAAGCCTGAAAGGGAGAAAACGTAAGGAATCTGTATTTTCCCAGGGCAAGAACATAGTTTTCTGTAGAAATTTAAGAAAAAGAATGTCTAAAAGGAATGGGATGTAGGGAAAGAAATAAACTATATCACAGAGCGAAGGAAATCATGCTTGAAGTGAACATTTCCAGAAATCGTTGAGAGTTAAGAATTACTGGTAATACTGAAAGCAATCAATTGTTCTTGCTGTATAAAGGAGGAGTATTCAACAGGAAGAAGCAATGCTGATGGTGGGGCAGAGGTAATATATGAAGCAGTTAGGGCAATCCTGAATGAATTAATTTTTCAGCTTGGGTGATTATTTGAGGATGAAGATGGGAAGGATTTGAGGATTTGATTATGAGAATGGGAATAGAATCAAATGTATGAAAATAGACGTTACTATAGTCAAAGTGGAAGTAAAATGCAGATATCAAAGCTCTCAAGTCAAGATGATCTAGTAGATCTTGATCAAAGATGTCTGGAAGGAGAACTGCCTCATGAAATTTCAAGTCTGGTAGCAAAATCTGTCAAAAAAGGAGCTGTGCCATGTGAAGATGGAATAGAAGATGTCAAATATTTAGGAAAGGAAAAATTTATTGAAGGAACTGAAGACCTATTATTACATTGAACTAGACTAGTCAAGGATTTTGGACAAATCCTTGGGCGGGGGGGGAGCAGATTATTTGTGTAGATATAAAAAAGGCTAAAAATCGTCATGAAGTTTATCAGCAGCAGTTTTTGCGACACTACACTGAGAATTTTTTTTGTATTTGTTGTAGGTGAGATCTCTACACAGCCTCAGTTTGTTTGTTGTCACACATCTAAAGTTTTTAGAGAGGGTGAAAGTAGGGAGAGACAAAAGAGCTATACTGCCAGATACACAGAGGTGGTTAAAAGGGAGAGAGTAAGGAATTACATTGAGGAGGTAAGTGCTTCGGGCCAGAATGCCTGAAGACATCTAGTGCTCCAGAGGAGCACTAAGGGAACTCCAAAAGAATTAGTCAACTTTGGGGACAAATTTTGTTTAACGCTTTTGTGCACAACTTTGGTGCAAAAATTAGTTTAAAAGATAGAGTCAGTACAGATAAGGATCTAGATAAAAAGAATGAATTGAGTAACTGAGTGTCGTGGTTTAAACCCAGGCAACTCGTTCACTCACTTCCCCCCCATTCTTGCCCTCCCCCTGCTCCCGGAGGGACGGAGAGGAGAGTCAAAAAGACTGCAAATCCCATGGGTTGAGATAAGAACAGTTTAGTAACTAAGTTATAACACAAATCACTGCTGCTACCACCAATTATAATAATGATAAAGGAAATAACAAGGGAAGAGAATAAAACACCTCACCACCAGCCAACCGATAACTCACCCCTAGGTCCGACCAAGCAGCGACCCATACCTTCTCCAACCCTGCAGTCTCCCAGCCCTTCCAGCTAACTCCCAGTTACATCCTGGGCATGACGTGCTGTGGTATGGAATACCTCTTAGGTCAGTTTGGGTCAGGTGTCCTGTCTCTGCTTCCTCCCGGCTTCCCCTCCTCCCTGGCAGAGCATGAGGCTCACAAAGTCCTTGGCCAAACCAAAACATTCTTGTTATCAGCTCTGTTCCCAGGCCGAAAATCAAAACACTGCACTGCACCAGCTACCAAGGAGGAGAAAAATGACTGCTACTGCTGAACCCAGGACATTATCCACCCCTTATTCCATACCATTCACGTCATGCTCAGATCCCACATTTTCAATATACCATCACTCTTATCTAAGTGCATGGACCAGTCCCTATAAAGCTGCTGAGTCCATCTGGTCCATGATGTCAGGCTCCATCTCTTGTAACAGTCTTCCAGAGCAGGAGAGACTGTGTGCAGTGTTCACACTCATGAATAACCTGGGCAGTAGTGTCCATTGCTAAGTCCACCCCTTGATCATGAGTCCATCTCTATGTTGCATCTCTGCTCTGATGGCCTGAAGTGCCATGGGCCCACCAGGCTCAAAATAATTCACTGTCCCCTTCAGCAGTTTCTGCAGCTTGTTGCTGGG